TCTTCTGTAGTTGCCTTCAGTTTTCTCCAGCATTATTGTCTTTTTATGAAAGTCTTGTCTTCATGATGTACCCAAAGTACAATACCTCAGCTTGGTCATTTTTGTCTCTAGCAAAGGTTCCAGCACGATTTGATCTAGGACACGTGTATTTGTCATTCTAGGATTCCGTGGTATCCATAAAGCTCCTCTCCAACACCACATTTGAAATGAATCCGTTTTTTTTCCCCTAAGGGGACAAGGCTAATACACTTGAGGAACACTGTCTTACTCATCCACCCATGTTCCCACAACAGCAAGAAAGAAGGCTGAAGGAGACAGTTAACAGTAAGACTACCTGGAAGAATGATTCAGGACGAACAGTTCCTGATGCTTTCAAGAATTGTGAATGAGCCCCATTTCAAAGGTAAGTCGTGCTCACTCTAAAACAAGGAGGCAGAATATGAAACCACAACATGCCGCATAAAGAGGAAAAATGAGAAAACTTTAGATTAGGCAGGCTGTAAAAAAAAAAGTCCCAGTTACCTGACCTGCTTTTAAAAAACGTACCTCAGATTCTGTTTGACACAGAAAATAAATAAATCTCTCAAAAAAGTTTTTAAAAAGAGGAAAGCGCAAAAACTTGAATGCATTTCTCTTAACTTTTCATCTCTCTCAGAAAAGGTGGAATACTCAGGAGTAAACGGCAAGGTGACAATATATCTAAGCATCGATTGCTTTTAACTCGCCTTATTAATCATTTATCAAAGTTTTCAGAAGAGCAGTTCTGGAACGGATCGATTTGCTGCAAAAGGCCATTCGTAAGCCCCCAAGGCACACAGCGAGTTGCACAGGGAAAGTATTTTACATTCCGCTTTATTGACCGAGATAAAGACATCTAAATATCAGCGCTTAGTTATACAAGTGTCTGCGCTTGCAAGGAGTCTCCTGGGATGAATAAAAGCTCAGGGGCAGCACAAAGGTACAAGTGGAGACAGGTTCTGGCTTGGCCCATAATAACCGTGTACTAGTTCATCCCTAGCCCCCAAGCACAGGGCATGCTTCCTTTAAGCTGGGAAGTACTGCTTATTTCATTACCAAAACCATCATTTCAGCACATAGATGTTATTGAAAGAAAACAAGCCCAAGATTCTCTTACCCAAACTGCTGGATGAAATTCAGTTGAGGACTCGCCAGCTAGAGTGGACTCATTGAATCAAAGATATTTTGTTGTTGTTTAGTTGTGTCCGACTCTTCGTGACCCCATGGACCAGAGCACGCCAGGCCCACCTATCTTCCACTGCCTCCCGGAGTTGTGTCAAATTCATTCTGGTAGCTTCGATGACACTGTCCAACCATCTCATCCTCTGTCGTCCCCTTCTCCTCCTGCCTTCACACTTTCCCGATACCAAGGTCTTTTTCAAGGAGTCTTCTCTTCTCGTGAGATGGCCGAAGTATTGGAGCCCCAGCTTCAGGATCTGTCCTTCCAGTGAGAACTCAGGTTTGATTTCCTTCAGAATGGATAGGTTTATTCTCCTTGCAGTCCAGGGGACTCTCAAGAGCCTCCTCCAGCACCACAATTCAGAAGCATCCATTCTTCAGTGGTCAGCCTTCTTTATGGTCCAGCTCTCACTTCCGTACATCACTACTGGAAAAAAACCATGGCTTTGACTATGAGGACCTTTGTCGACAAAGTGATGTCTCTGCTTTTCTGCAAAGAGATTTCTGCAAAGGTTAAACCTATGACCCAGCCAATGACTCAATGGGTCTATTCTTGTCTGGACCTGCCATCTGATTTAGATATTAGGTTTGGGCCCACAGCTTGACCCTGGAGTAAAAGAATCTGGACAGAAGGAAGAGCCAAGCCCGCTCATCTCTTTGTCCTGCAAATGTGTAGCAAAAAAGAATTGATTTGTCAAATTTCTGAGTTTTTTTAAAACTTTTCCTTGCTTGGCTTATTTGTTCCATCCTGTTTCCGCCGCAGAGTTTGCAGTTTCTGCCATTGCTCTTTGGCTGTTCTACTCTACCAGTTTTTTTAATCCAAATGTTTCCATAAAACTGACACTGCTGTCCAGAGATGCAGGAGGTGAAGACACCCATCCATGAGGCAGAAGCACCTCAAAATACCATCTTCCCTGCTTTTCAGCAACCTTACAAATCATTTCCTGTCAAAAACCACCAAAATCTATTAAGAGATTGGCATTTGCAGCCCCTTGTCCCTCAAGTCTTTGGGGGGAAAACTTCAAAAGCTAGCAGTGCCAACGCTATGAAAGAGAATTTGAAATACAAAGGAAAAGTGGCTTGGCATACAAAAAGAATATAATTATGGACCAACTTTGATGTTAAAGTGTTTATCAGCATTGGAACGTGAGCAAAATCCCATGCCTTTTCAGTCTCCGGAACAGAGGAAAATCCAGACAAGACTTGTCGAAATTCATTCATTTGTAATTAGCAATAATAATAATTGTAAGGCCTTCAGCTTTTGCTCTTTCGTCTGATGCCTGTGCACCAGCAATTCTGGATAATAAAAAATGAAATAATAATGATAACAACTGCTACTACTCGCTTGTGGATGAAACACATTTCAGTAGTCCCCATAGTTATCGAAAAGGAATTTTATAAAATATCAGCTGCAGATCTTTGAAATAACACTATCGAAAAGGAATTTTATAAAATATTATAGTCAGCTGCAGATCTCAGAAATAACACAATCAGAGCTGCAAAAATGGTAATATTAGAAAAAATATACATATTACACTGATATTTAATGGATACTGAGGTTTTTTTGTTTAAACCTGTATTATATAATACCAGTCAGACTGTGTATATTGTATTAATAACCAAGTCAATTCTGAGTTATGGTGATCCTTGTCAGGGTTTCCTAGATATGCAGTATTCAGAAGTGATTTTCTGTTCCCTTCTTTTGGGTGTGTTCTAGGGCTGTGCAGCTTGCCTAAGGCTACACAGGCTGGCTCTCCTCCTAGGCTGCAGTAGTGGAGAATGGATCTCCTCGTATCCAGCTTCAGAGTTAACTGAAGCACTGAATTTAAGTTGCTCAAAGGCAGGAACACCTTCTAGTCTCCCTTGACATGCCAGAATGGAGTCAGTGGAAAAGCTTTCTGCTCTTTAACATCTTAAATGCTTGGCTTAGGAAAGTTAATTTTCTGGACTATAAGACCCATGGTGTCTGGGGGATTCTGGAACTTGTAGTCTAAAACTCTGCATAAGTCGTGGATATATCACTGGCTAGAAAAGAAATACATAAATCTCTTGCTTCGTGCATCCTGCTTTTAGACGATTCTCAAGACAGGAGCTATTTTGAGAAAATCGGTTTGGGGGTTTTATGGTTCCTCATTTTGCTTTCAGTTTGCTAACAGCGTTTATTATAGTTAGCCTTCTTCCATGCCAGAGGGGCAAGAAAGGCTAACGACTCACCCTCTGGTTGCTTTCATTGGCCACATTGTCCTGCCAGGGGGGGCTGATTCGTCCTGTTACTCAGGGGATGCCTCAAAATTATTTGATTTTAAATGGTGTGCCACTTGTAGCCATCATGGGCCAACTGATGCCAAAAGCACTTTCTTTTTGGCGAATGCTGGCAGGCAGCAGCCCAGCCAGAAGGCAGGAGATAGTGTGCTGCGGTTATCCGATCTGTTTCTTTGCAGGCAGGCAGCAATGGCTATTGGGAGCTGTTTGTTTTGCCCCTCTCCAGGACACAGGGGTCTGGACCGCCAGGTCCAAGCCCGGTGAGGCCAACATTTCCTCTGGGCACCTTGTACAACTTTACCCATTTTTCATAGGTGAAGATTCATTTCTGCATTGCCCTGAACTAACACTTGCCCATCCCCCAGAGCCCAATAAATCTGCACATTGCCTCCAAACCAACATTCATTCATTCATTCAATTTTTATACCACCCATCTGGTCCAGGGATTCCAAAAGATCTCCTATATAGAGAATTAGTGCAGGGAAAGCACCCCAGAGGGAGACCACAGCTGTGATACAAGGATATCCACAAGCGGGATCTGAAGGCCTTAGGAATGGACCTCAACAGATGGGAAACCTTGACATCTGAGCATTCAGCCTGGAGGCAGGCATTACATCACGGCCTCTCCCAATTTGAAGAGACCCTTGTCCAGCAGGCCGAGGCAAAGAGGCAGTCCCGAAACCAGCAAAATCAGGGAGCTGGACAGGGGACAGATTGCATTTGTCTTCACTGTGGAAGGGATTGTCACTCTTGAATTGGCCTTCTGAGCCACACTAGACGCTGTTCCAAGTCCTCCATACAGAACACGTTACCATAGTCTCTCGAGACTGAAGGATGCCTAAGAAGGAAGGTCTAGGGCCACTCTGGGAGGTTTGCAACAATCACAGCAACAACATAATTAGAATACCAATTTGACAGGACAGAAGCTAAAAATAATATACAAATAAAGCAATACTGTCAAAAGTATTAGAATGCATTTAAATAAATATTTAAAACGGTGGATTTGATCGGATTAGGCTAATTATGCTCAGCTGACACCACCGGTATAATTTTTTAGAATGCCAGCCTGAATAATAAAGCTTTTATTGACCTTTTAAAAAATGCCAACAGAGGCGAAAAAAATAAAATAAAAATGAACGTACAAATGAACAAACAAACAAATGAATGAATGAGCAATCCGAAACAAGGACAGAATTGGATTTGCCAGAAAGTTTGCACTGAGCAAAGAAGCAGGAGACCACCTCGCCCAGTTCAGAGATTAAGACTGTGCCCATACAACTCTTGGCTTGCCAGTTCAATTACAGAACTGGGAAAAAAACTCCCCAGCATACGCAGGGCCATCACAAGAACAAGCAGATTTCACACCTGGAGACAGAATAATCATACTTCACACATCTAAGCACTGCAAATGGACTCCCTAAATTTAGACAGCAGATTTAACCGGGCAAGAGACACACTTTCAAAAGGATCAGATTTCTCTGCCGAGACATAGACCTACAAAAACAATTTGCTAAATTAAAAAAAAAGTTTATTGAACACATCTGAAATCGGTACACATAGTCATACATACACAAATGTTTCTTTTATTTGTGATCAAAAGATAAGAAAGGATTTCATGGTTCTGCCTCTTTGTGCCTACAGCTTTGTTTTGTTTTTTTGGTTTTTTTAAAAAACGGGTGTTTTATAACTAAGATAAATACTATAATTTTAAAAAGTGATCTACATAATAAGGAAAGAAGCTAATCCTGTTCAGAAGACTCCAATAGAGAATAGTTTCATTTAGTCCAAGCGCTGGGTTCAAGATTTGCTCGAAGGAGCACAGATTTTATGGGATCTGTGTGTTGCTAAAACAGAATTTTAATAAATACACGAGAATCGCAGGGAAGCGAGAAATGTAACCAAATAAAAATAGACTGGCAAAACTGGCAGCTATTCAGGAAACAGGCGAGCCGGCAGCTACACGGACGTGCTATTTCACCGCCGTTCTGGGAAGTCAATAGAGAAAAGTTCCAAAACTCCCTTTCCCGTTCCTCTTGAACTGGTTGCCCACAATGGAGACGAACATTGCTTGAGACATCAGATCGTCATCTGCTTCTGTGATCCCCAGGTGGCTCAGTCTTTTTTTGTGCTGCTGGCTCTTCTTCAGTGAGATGGCCGAAAGTTCATGGGCAATCTCAGAATTCTCCTCCGTGGGCTTTTCCCCCCAGGAGTCTAATTCACCGCTGGTCTGTCTTGGTAGGTTTTCACACCCCGTGTTGGAAGCATCACCAGCCAGCGGCGTATCCTTCACCGGTCCTGAGTCAGAAACAACTGCATTAGATTAGTGCCTTACAAAGAACTACAGTGGTGCCCCGCTAAACGCTTACCCCGCATGACGTCGAAATCGCTTTACGATAAGTTTTTGCGATCGCAAAACGATGTTCCAATGTTTGTTTTTTTACTTGATGTCAAACCGTTTGTTTGCTAAATGATTATTTTTTCTGGCTCCGCAAAATGGCTTCCCTTTGTAAAATGGCTTCCCTCCCTTCTCAAAATGGCTGCTTTCCACACCCCTGCTTCGGAAGACAGCGATTTTAAACAGCTGATTGGCGGTTCTCTATGGGCGATCTTTGCTGGACGATGAGGTATTTCCCCACTGGAACACATTAACCGGTTTTCAATGCATTCCAATGGGTTTTTTTGGCTTGACGACAATTTCTCTTAACAGCGATTTTCCTGGAACGGATTATCATCATCAAGCGGGGCACCACTGTAGTTTTAAGAGAACGTTTATATACTTGTCCTCTTCCTGCACCTTCATGTATGTCACCCTTTAAAGCAATAGACATCCGGAGGTGGGGGGACATGTGGCCTTCCAGGTGCTGTTGGACTTCAGATCCTATCAGCCTTCAATAGCAGAGCTAAACATGAGGAGTCATTGGAATCGGAGTCCAACATCTCAACAGCCACACAATCCCCACCACTGACGTATAATCTAGGATGCAAAAGGGAAGGAATAGAGAAGGGAGGAGGGGGGAACTGACAATATTCAGGGATCAATTTCCACACAGTATTTATAATGTCCAGATCAAAAATGGGCTACTACAACAATCCGTAAGCTTCTGGCCTAGAACCTTCCCAAATTCTACACCATTGGCTCTGCTGGCTAGAATTAATTAGACCTGTAGTTCAAAAATGTTTGTTTGTTTGTTTATATACCACTTCTCTCCTAGGCCAGAGGGCCTAAGGCAGCTTACAGTATTGAAAGAAACAAAGTTAAAAACAAAATAATAAATTGTTACAATATTTTTTAAAAAAAAGCATTAAACAAATATATGAACTCTAAGACAACTCACAGTAAGAGCAAGATTTAAAGCACAAGGAAAACACAGAATGATCCCATTAAAAAAAAACCTGGATGTAAAGGAAAGCCTGCCTGAAGAGGAAGGTCTTTGTCTGCTTGCAAAGGGACAGCAAAGATGGGTTCAACCTAGCCTCCAGTGGGAGGGAGTTCCAAAGAGCAGCAACAGAGAAGGCTCTCTTCTCCTGCATCCCCACCAAACACACCTGTGAGGGTGGTGGGACCAAGAGACATTTCTGCCCCATCCCAAATCCCTCCCCGAAGGAAGATCCGGGAGGACAAAGCTACTCTTTAAATCAGCATGAGAGTAAAATACATGCCTAGAGAAAACACAGGATAGCCAGTGTGGTGTAATGGATAGACGAGGACTCAAGAGCCCCAAATTCAAATCCCCAGTTAGCCATGGAAGCTCACTAGAGATGTGGAACTGGTAAAACGGTTCCTTAAATATTTCACCTACCTTGAAAGTCTTATTAGGGTCATTATATGTTGGTTCCAATGCGACCGTCCATAAAAAGAGATAAAACTTTAAAAAAAAATCAGTCATGCTCGCAAATATCATACCTTCTGAGTTTTCTTGTGCATTCTCATTTCTATCCAAACAGACTGTAGGTTTGACTAGCACAACTCCATACCCTTCATTGTTATGGATGACATTGTTCACCATTGTTATTTTAGGAGTTTCATAATGCTCATCCAAAAAGTCCTGAAAGCCAAGACAAAATAAGTGAGGACCACTGATTCTGTAACCGCCGTAGTGACCCTGAGCCCAAACCACTGCTAGCCATCTTTCTAAGAATAAAACTCCAGTGAAATTCTTCACTATACTGGTTTAGAGCTCTTCCTGCCCTGGTTATCTATGCAGGGAATTGTTGAGGGAAGCAGCCACATCCTCAAAAGCAGAATCATCTTCACACATTTTATTTTAAGATAGCGGAAGCCATAGGTCTTGGGGTTAAATCCCTTCCCTTCCTGGACTACCTGGAAGTCCACCCTTTTTTTTTCATGATACCAATACTTGTTCAATTTCCAGATTTTTATACAATTTTCTCCCCATTCTGAAAGGCTGGGATCTCTCTTCTTAAGGCTTAGTTACTGCTAGCAGGAAGAACCTTTAAGAGAAAATATACTGATTTTTGGGGGGTTTTACCTCTCCCCCCTGACCATCACAGGGACGCAGTCCCCAAAAATTTCTCTGAGTATGAAACAGACCTTCAAGCTGAAAAAGTCTCCCACACCCTTAATCCTTAAGGGATAGTAGCATTCCAGTGCTTAGCCGCAAAGCTTATTAGATGGACATTAAAGGCTCATTCTTGGCTGAATTCTTTTCTTCTGTGATTCTGCGATCAGTCATAATTCACTTCAAAACTCTTAAGAAAAAGCAGGAATAAAAGCCAACAAAACACTTCCCTTTTACTCGTGCCGTCCAGGGTGCTTAAATTTAATATATAAGAGTGGTCCAAAGCACTGAAATGCTAATGGTATACCTTCTCCAGCATTCAAGATGCAACTCACTTTTATGAGGATTCCCTCTTTGCAATGATGTATGCCATTTCCAATCAAGGTACATGTCCCCCCTGGATAGACTTCCACACCAGCACCCTAAAATTAAAAAAGTGAGAAACGGCTACCAAACAGTCTATGCAAAATGACTTTTCCTAGAGCTCAGCAAATACTTTAGGGCAAGGGGTAGGCCACTGCAGCCTTCCAGGGTTTGCTGGCCTGCGGTTTCCACCAGACCCAGTCAGCACAGCCAGTGGCAAGCAGCGCTGGAAGGCTGCCGTTCTCAGCCTCTGCTTCAGGGGATGGGCGGCAGAAACACAGTGTAACTCCACAGCTGATCACTAAACAATGATCTAAAGACACACCGTTCCAAGGTTAAGCTGGGGCTCGAGAGTAACTGAAAGGGGTGCTGCTTCACAACTCTGGGTCTTGAGACTCGGGATGAAAATTAAACTTCAACTTTAACGATGATGCCGAGAGAGGCCACGAAAACGAGCCTTCTCGGCTGTGGCTCCTCGACTATGGAACAACCTCCCTCCGGAGACTTGCACAGCACCTACGCTGGGAATCTTTAAAACCCAATTAAAAACATGGTTATACATCCAAGGCCTTCCCTCCAGTCAATACCTGATTTCTCTCTATTTTCCTTTATTTTTTTTCTTCTACTTTATACAATTGTTATTGAACGACTATGCACATTCTTGAGTTTATTGTTTCATCCTATATTGTAAGCCGCCTAGAGTGGACGAGTAGTCCAGACAGGTGGGGTATAAATCAGATAGATAGATAGATAGATAGATAGATAGATAGATAGATAGATAGATAGATAGATAGATAGATAGATAGATAGATAGATAGATAGATAGATAGATAGATAGATAGATAGA